ACACGGGGTTGTCAAAATATGCGTTTTTGCATTTACATAGGAAATACAAAATTTAACACGAGTGAGCGGACAAAGGAGGCTACGCAAATTGCCTGGTCACCTCCTCTACCGATCACTGCGGTTATCTACCCGTCGTTTCGCGCTGTCAAGTCCGGCTAGAATGACGATAAAGAAACTCAGATAATGAAGTGGCCGTTAATAATTTGATTTATCTTCCTAAAAAGACAAGGGCACAAAGACGAACAGCTAGGGAAGCGTATAGTAACCGCTTTCGGTGAATTGGCAATTGCAGCAAGCGTTTGTGTCAGTGTTGCAACAGCACGAATCCACTGCACTTTGGCTTCGTCCAGTATTGATACTGCTGCTGCTGCATTTACCTGCAACCGGAGAGAAGTGTGCAAGGTGTCAAAACAGAGGGCGGCATTAAAAATGCCAGAAGAGCGAGCAAAAATACGTAACTTCTATAATACATTCTGCTACCGAAGTAGTTTCTTTTCCCCAGTTTATGAAAACCGTAAGATCGGACGTGACTGGGCCAAGCTGACTGGCCACTACTGTCAAAGGCCAGAGGGGCACGAAGCTACTGACCTACGACGAAGTCAAGCCCTGCATCTTGCTTGACATCATATTCACCATACTTGTAAATTCAGAATGTTTCCAGTTACTACACATCTGCGAATCCACTAAAGCATTTCAAGATATCGGCCAAAAAACCCTACAATTCCATAAGAACCAGTCGAGTTGTTCAACGAAACGATGCTTTCAACGGTGTCGTTGGTTATCCGAAATGGCATTGAACCCATGCGTGGCGTGCAAATAACATTCGGATGCTCCATCAGAGTCCGCAAAATGGAAGCGTCCTGAAAAGGAGCTGCACTACACCGGCAAATCTGGTTCTCATTACTTCTCAGAATGCTCTGAAATTCTACAGCTTTTCTTAGTACCGACAGTAGCTAATACAAATTTTAGGCAAATTTCGAGATAAAGACAAATAACATATCAACGTTTTATCAACTTACCTATTCCAGCTGCATGCCCTCCAAATTTCCACCGCTCGACCGATTAACAACTGTTCAGGTCGATCGAGCTTATTTTGGCAAAATGTAGTCACCATTTGCGGATTATCTTAAATTTCCAGTTTGCTCTGATCCCAGTCGAGGAACTCCTTCACTAAGGTGGAATGCGGGTCCAAAAGCAATTACAAGGCTCAGAATG